GTGTGTGTGTGTGTGTGTGTGTGTGTGTGTGTGTGTGTGTGTGTGTACATGCATGTGAGCACACAAATTTGTGTGTTTGTGTGCATGTGGAAGCCAGAGATTTGGCAGTTGCTGTCTTCTATCATTCATCACCTCATTTACTTATTTATTTTTAATTAATTATTCATTTTGTGTATGTGTTTGTGTGGACACATGCATACCATGGCACATATGTGGGCGTCTACAGGAGCTGGCTCGCACCTTCTATCAAGTGGTGTTAAAGTCAGGTTGTCAGGCTTGAAGACAAACACCTCTACCACTGAGCCATTTCACTGACCCACAACCTTATTTTTCAAGTACCTCATTGATTCAGCTAAGCTGTTTTGCTACAGAGATTTACCTGTCTTTGCCTCCCCGGTGCTGGGGTTAGACTGACATCACCATGCCTGAATGTTTTATGTAATCTCTGAGGATACAGACTTGGGTCTTCCTGCTAGTGTGGAGATCGCTTTTCCTGACTGAGCAGTCTGTCACCATGATTGAGGAGCTCTGATGAAAAGGACAAGAAGGGAGTGGTATCAAGCCTTGGTGCTCTTGCTGGGGACAGTTCCATTTCTTTGGCATTGGGTGGCAGAGCTGGCATCAGGGTGAACCCTCTCAATAGCTGCTGGAGCACCACCTGCCTCTCCCAGTGACACACGGAGAGCATGGCATCTGGAGCTTCTCAGGGATTACCCCTTACCCCACCACTGATGAGGATCTAATTTCTCCTGAGTTCGTGGTCCTACACTCCTCCCAGCTGGATTTTCTATCAGTTTACAACACAGAACATTTTAACAAATGCATCTTCAGCACTTCCACCAAGAACAGAAGTTAGACGAGTGTTAAAAATGGCCAGGCTTACAGACTACGAGGAGGAAGAGCACAGAAAACTTTCTTGACATATTGACATATCGAGAGGCCGCAGCCAAGTGGGAACCTTGACAATGTCTGAGTAAAAGAGAAAACACAGTGGTGTAAGAGTCTTAGAGCACGGGTGGCTGTAGCCCTGGGGTCATCCGTCATCCCCAGGCTCTGGCAAGGTCCCCGGAAAGAATGCACAGAGATGGCTTTGTGGTTTGATAAGATCCACAGCACAAGGAAACAGTAACCAATGTTTGTGAAGAAGGGACTGTGAAAACCAAGCCCAACCCACAGGGCTGTCCTAACAGTGAATGGACAGCCAAGGAGCAAAGTTTGAAATGAGCCTCCAGATGTTTGCTGCCAGTGCTTTGGGCTAGGTGGTTGTCCAGAGGTGAGAAGAAATCTGACAAAACTAGCATGCAACTCAAAGCTGTGTGGTCCCTGCAGACTGTGTGCAATCCAGCTCGACACATGGATGGCTGAGCGGGAGGGACTCTCACTTCATACAGCACACTGAAAATGAGGCTGGGGACACCTGACGCCTGCCTTGCTCTCGGCCTGTACATGAAGGCAATGTATACTGGTGTAAGTTGCCTATCTTTTCTTCTGTTCAAGTTGAACAGAAGCTCCCCACCTCCCACCATGGTGGGGTGAAAGATTCACACAGCCCAGAGGGGTTTTGCTTTATGGACTTTCCACAAAAGCACTCCTTCCCTTCTTGGCCTTACATCTTTAAAGCTTACTGCCCCCTTCGTTTTGTTCAGATTTTTAAAACGTTGTTTTGATGCCAAGATTAACAAATGTGACTCTTTATCATATTGGAACTGACCCAGCAATTCACAGATTAAACAAAAGCAGACAAGGCTAAGCATTTGGAAGGAGATGCAAATGTCCATTAGTTGGATGGTCCCAGCGACTCCTGACCTATCTCCTCCCACTGTCCACTTTGAGGAATTCTAAAGGTGACGGAGAATTAGAAGACATCTCTCTCTGCCCATGTCTTCCTCCCCCATGTGGACACTCTTGCTGTCCGTTGCTCTCTTGTGAACGCAGTCCCATCTCCCCGTAGCCATCCCTGCCCCTCCCACTCTGCTGATAGGGGCGAGGCAACTCTGAACAACCTCTTCGCTGCCAAGAGCCCAGGCATGGGTGGATGAGCTGGGCCGAGCAGGGTCCTCTAGGGGTTTGGGGAACAGAGGCTGCTCTTGTTGGCTGCAAGAGCTGAAGCCAAAAGGATATGACTCTGGAGTCGGCAGCGGGGGTGGGGGAGGTGGTGGCATGCGAACGCTAAGCAAGCTGGGAGATAAAAGAGCAGAATCCATGAGGAAGGAGAGGAAGTCAGCTGGTAGAGGAACCATGCAGGGAGAAGACATGAAGCTATCGCCCAGAAACAGGTGAGGAGACCACTGGCCCTTGCTGGCAATCTACTGTACATGATGATGGTCCATGTTCCACAGCTATAGCAAAACACCTGTAGCAAGGTCATTCATAAAGAAGAAGAGTTCGCTTTGTTCATGGTGCTAGCAGCTAGGAAGTCTAAGTCCATGGTACTGGCTCTCATCAGCTTCTGGAATGGGCAGGCAGAGATGGTACAGGGTGAGACAGAGCAAGTGTATTAGCTAGCTCTCTCTTTTTTCTTTTCAGAAAGCCAGCAACGCCTTCACAATGGTTTCATCTAATCCTAATTACCCCTTGACACTGTTAATGTGTGACTTTGGGGGTTGAGTTCTTAACATAGGAACTTTCCTTGAACACCTTCAGGCCACACCAATGGAGAAGCGGTACCATCCTCTTGAGACACCTTTTTGCTTCAGTTGCTACTAAGGAACTAGTTGAGTGTAAGTGTGTCCTGGCCAATGGCACTCATCTGTCCTGGACACATCCAGGAGTGGTAGTGCGAGGAGGTTCACACAACTGGGGCGACTCTGATAAGCACTGTTCCTCCAGGTCCCAGAGTCTCTATAGCTGCCGAGGGTCCTTAGCACAGCCAAGCCTCGCTGCCCACAGTCATGTCCAGCTCAAGGGGCACCTCAGACCAGGTCTTATGCCTTCTTTTTCCTTTTACAGCCCACTCTAATTTCCTATTTCTCAGGTGTTTTATAAAAATAAACTGCCCTGAACAAAATTCTCAATTCTGTCCTGAGGGAGAAGAAATGAAGAGGATATGAATCACCTACTTCTAGGAACTTGGGGAACAAAGTCATCAAAACCAATTCCTACTCAAAACAAAGATGCAAGAAAATTTTAAGTCATAAAATATAAAGAAAAAAATTAGTTCCACATTAAAAACAAAATATGCAAACCATTCTTACAAGGACACCAGAGACCTCCCAAGAGCAAGACTCTGCTTACTCTCTCCACTTCTCTGAAACCTTCTTGTCCCCAAATGAGCCACCACATCACCTACCCTACACTCAGAACACTTTCAGGAAAACAGTCTTGGTGCTGAGCAGAACCCAGAGAAAATTTCACCTGTGAGAAACTGTAAACACTAACAACCTGGTTCATATTTTCACCATACATTTATATTACTTGGGTGAGTGAAACTAAACAAAGATGGAATTATTAAAAAATATTCAAGGATGCTATTGGAAGACAATGAAGAAAGGGATATAGTAAACATACATCCTAAAATGGCAATAATTACACTAAATGTAAATGGTCTAAAGATACTAATCAAAAGGGATTTCTAGCTTGGATTTAAAACAAACAAACAAAAACAACAACAAAGCAGGAATCAACCACTCAGCTCCACTAAATGTGCATAAAGTGAACAACAAAGTCGCAGCACAGAGCTGAAGGTGCCAGGGAGCCAGCTCAGTAGGTAAAGGCACTTGTTGCAGAAGCCTGGTGGTCTGAGTTCAATCCCCAGAACCCACGTGGATGAAAAGAGAGAACTATCTCCACAGAGTTGTCCTCTGATTTCTACATGTGAGCTGTGGCATGAGCACCCCCACACATAGATCACATATACACAGAGTAAAGATAAACAAAATAAAATAATAGAGCAGGCAGGAGATGCAGAAAATCCAGTGATAGTTGAAGATTTCAGCCCCTCTCCCAACAATTCATAGAACAATGTAACAACAACAACAAAAAAAAATACAACCCACTAAAAACATAGACGCCAATGCTATCTAACACATGTAATCAGGACACCCACACACAGCAGAGTAGTCACCATTCTAAGTGCTAAGAAACATAAATAAA